TATCACACACACACACACACACACACACACACACACACACACACACACACACACACACCTACCCATGCCGTTGGTCTCCATACGTGAGGCTGTGTTCACGGTATCCCCGAACAGACAGAAGCGGGGCATCTTGAGACCCACTACACCGGCACACACGGGACCTGAATTATTACAAAGATGGCAATACGTATAGTAATAATAATATAATCTATCTAATCTATTATATATTTGGCAACTTGGAAACGCATGTGTCACTTTTCCCATAAAACTATACGACAGCTACAGAGTTGAAAGTTGGCAAGTACCTGCAAAAAGATAAATAGGTCCCCATGACGGAGCTCGATGTTTTATTTATCCATTTCCTGAATTTTGAAAAATATATTTAACAAAAAGTTCCCGTCCTTCTTTGGCCTTTGTGATTATTCCACTAAGAAAACAAACAAATCTGCGCAGCTGTCCTTCAATACGGAAGTGCCGGAAGTGATATTTCGCGAGGTGCATTTTGTTTTGAGAGTATAGATATAGACCCTCTAATTTTTTGCATCTCTCAAGATTTATTGCTCCATTGGTGGGTCGTAACGTATTTTCATTTTTTTTTCACTCCACGTACCTGAGTGTAGTCCAATCCTGAGCATGAGTCTGTCCTCTGATGTCTCAATGGGTGTGAAGCTGGAGATGACGTTGAGCAGAGCCAAAGACATCCGGGCAATCTGCCGCGCATGCTCCGTGCCGTTCCTTGTTGGCAATCCTGAGACAACCATGTAGCCATCTCCGATAGTCTCAACCTGCATGTCATAAAGCTATTGAAGTTACCAAACCTTGGCGGCCATTTTCTCTCTAATTTTACCTCTGAAACCAGGGGACCCCACCTCCATCAATGGCAAATATCTCAACGACTATTTAAGATAAATGAATATTTTTTTCACCAAAAGCAAGGAAAACGAACAGGCTATAGAGGATACCAATAGCTCCAGATACCCAAAAATTGACGAGCACTTGGTTCTACCACGTTGTGACACATGTGTGGGTGTGCCTGAAGAAGGGGCTCAGTCGTCGGCAAAGTTCTTTTGGAGCAAACAAAGTTGTACCAGGTCACACATTTAGTTCCCATCAGAAAACACAAGTTTGTCCCTTTCTAAATAACACACGACAGGATTTTATAATATTTTCAGTCTACGTATTTTTTTTTTTGTTAACTATTTTTGCAACATGCTGAACTTCACCAGAATATGTCAAAAATATGCTAGAAATTGGGTCAACATACTGAGGTTAAAGCCGTTTTTCCGTTTTTCTCCACACTTTGTTTTTACACCCTGTGTTACAAAATGTGGCATATCTTTAAAACTACTCAAGATATTTGAAAATGCAAAAGTCAGCGTGTTCAGCATTGAATTTGCTACAAGAATTTGTCTTTTTGTCAATATCCAAAATTTCCAACAACTAGGGCTTCTTTCCAGACGCGCGCACAC